TGATTTCGGGGTCATGACTTTGAGCCCCATGTGGGGTGTAGAGATTACTTGAATCTGTAAAACTTAAAAAAAAAAAAAGTGCTCCCAGCCTTAAGGTCTCCCCCACAGAGCACACAGAGTCTGGGAGCTGCTGTGGTAAGCTCCTACCATCTATGCTGAGCAGACTTTCAAGGTTAACTGGTGTCCTTTACCCTCTTCCCACATTCCTGTCCCAGGGTCTGAAAAATAGCTCTACTGGATATGACCTACTGGGTTAAACTCTCTGAACTTCAGTCTTCTTATTGGAAAAGGGGGTTAATAACGCCCACTAGCCAGGTTTGTTGTGAACATAGAAGGAAGTTGATACATATTCATTCTCTTACCCTCCTCTCCATTTTTCCTTTCTCTCCATTGCCACCTGCTCCCAGATGCCACGCCAGAAGCTGGGGAGTCACCTAGCCTCCTTCCTCTCCCCCATTCCCTAAAAATGATGTCATGCCATGCCAATCATTCCCATCTCTTGACCTAACATGCCCACTACCTCGTAGCCGAGTTCAGGCCCTCATCATTTGCCACTTATTACTGCGGTAGCCTCCTAAATTATTCTTCCTACACCCAGCCTCATCTCCTTCCAGCCCATCCTCCACGCTGTTGCTATTTCTAAAATGCAAATTTGATCATGTCTCTTTCCTGCTTAAAATTCTTCATTTGCTTCCCATCACCTTCAGGATAAAATCCAATCTCTTTAGCATGTCACACACGGTCCTTTGTGATCTGGCCCCTATTTATCACTCTGGTCTCATCTATTCCAACCCCGTGTCCCTCTCCTGCTCTAACACATCACGTTTTGGCTCTAGATGTGCTCAAACATTTAAAGATCCCTGAACGAGCTGGGCTCCCTCACCTCTGAACACGAGCCCTTGTCATTCTCTCTGGTTAGAATCGCCATACACACCTCAGCTTCCAAAGCACCACACACCCCTTTCCCTGGTCCTCCTGACCCGCTTGACCCTTGAGGTCCGAGCATGGAAGGTTACCTTTGGGAGACTGCGGGTCAGAGCTGCACACACATCTGTCACAACACTTATCACATTGCCGAGCAACTGTCTGTTTCTTTCAGACTCTGTCAATCAACTGTGAGTCGTTGAATGCAGCGGCCTCTTTCATTTTCAGACCCTTAGGGTTTGTATCCACCAGGCACATATAATAAATGTTTACAGAATGAATGAATAAGCTAGGAGACACATTAAGGTCAGATTCCAAACTCATGCACCTTCCACGTGGTATCATATGTTATTATTTGTGACTGACTGCATTCATTTCGTGAGTATTTAATGGATACCTACGTTGTACCAGGCATTTTCTGGCAATGCAGGCTCCATGGGGTCACCTGGATACATTCCCGTTTCCCTTTCAGTCGCTGTCTGTTACAGCTCATCATCCTTTGCTGTTCTGATTCTCCGACAGGAAACTCTAGTCTGATTCCTGACTCCATTCTGACTTCTGAACCATGGCTACCTGCCCTTCCTACCTGCCATGTTTGCATCTGATATGAGACTGACCTCACTCAGGTGTTCATTGAGCCAAATCTCCAGTCTCTGCCTCCTTTATTCAGTCTGGTCCCCCAGGTTCTGGTTCGAACACTTCCCTTCTCTTCTGTTACTTTCCCTACTCACCCAGACTCTTATAATTTGTCCAACTGCAAAACCCTCATCTTATTCTCCCTGCTCCTAACCTTTCTCTTGCCAAATCAGCCCTGTTTCCTCGTCGAGAATAATCTAAAAATGCTGTTTGTACAAGGTCAGGTTTAAAGTCCTTATTCTGATATTCAAGGCCCTACACATCTCCTGTAGCTTCCCTTCATCAACCACAGTCTTTTTTTTTTTAAATTGTCACTGATGAGTTTTTTAAACATTTTATGTTTATTTATTTATTTTGAGAGAGAGAGAGAGAAAGAATTCCAAGCAGTCTCATCACTGGCAGTGGGGAGCCCAACGCGCAGCTCAATCTTACAAACTGTGAGATCACGACCTGAGCTGAAATCAAGAGTTGAAAGCTTAACCGACTGAGCCACCCAGGTGCCCCTCATCAACCACAGTCTTATTTCATTATTTTTCTCTTGTTAACACCCAGAGGCCAGATAGATGCATCTTTTTTCCCCTTCTTTCCATTTCCTTCCACCATTTGCCTAAATTTTATCCTTCCCTTGAGGCCCAACCCAAATCCCATTTTCCACAGGAAGGTTTTGACTCTTTTGGTGCTGGACCATGTCTTTCTTCTTTGATCTATTACTATTTACTATTATGCAGCTTCCTGTTTTACATACCGTTGGGTATGTAATCATCTATGGCCGGCAAGCCAGATCTGGACTGCTGCCTTTATGTTTTTTACAGAGCCTATGAGCTAAGAATGGCTTTTACATTAAAATTTAAAAAGAAGAAAAAGAAGGGGCGCCTGGGCGGCTCAGTTGGTTAAGCATCGGACTTCGGCTCAGGTCATGATCTCACAGTGAATTCGATTATGTTGGGCTCTGTGCTGACAGCTCGAGGGCCTGGAGCCTGGAACCTGCTTGGATTCTGTGTTTCCTCTTCCCTCTCTGTTCCTCCCCCACTCGTGCTCTGTCTCTCAAAAATGAATAAACGTTAAAGAATTTTTTAAAAGGAAGAAAAAGATTTCATGACACATGAAAATTATATGAAATTCACACTTCAGTGTCCACAAATAAAGTTTTGTTAGAATATGGCCACACTTATTTGCTTATCGTGTATGACTGCTTTCAAGCTGTGGTGGGAGAATCATTTCAACAGAGAATCACTGAATTTGATTCATTTGTTTTTGAATCATTTCAACAGAGACCAGGATCTGCAAAGCTTACCATATTTTACTATCTGGTTGTTACAGAAAAAGTTTGCTGATGATCTCTGACCTAGGATCTTAAATTCTCTTCATAATCTTTGCATAGCTGTTTAAGAACTTGGGAGAGGTCTGCCTCATGAAAGACAATCTTTTCAATACTAATTAGCCATTCATTAGAAAGGCGGGGAAAGCCAGAGGAGCAGGCTGCATAGAGTGAGTGGGAGCTAGCCTCATTAGAAACTGGGTAACTTAGGCTACCTGATTCCCATTGGTAACTGAGAGTCAGAGGCTCTCTGTTTCTGACCTAGCAGAGAAAGTGTAAAAACACTGGTGATGTATAGAATTGTTGAAGCACTGGGGCACCTGGGTGTCTCGGTCGGTTGGGTGTCCCAGACTTCACCTCAGGTCATGATCTCACGTTCATGGGTTCAAGCCCCGCGTTGCACCCTGTGCTGACAGCTAGCTCAGAGCCTGGAGCCAATTTCAGAGTCTGTATCTCCCTCTCTCTCTGACCCTCCCCTGCTCACGCTGTCTCTCTCTCTCTCTCCTAAGACATAAATAAAACATTAAAAAAAAAATAAAACATTAAACAAGTAAAAAAAATTGTTGAATTACTATATTGTATACCTTAATAGAACCCTGTATGTGAATTAAAATGGATTTAAAAAATTTTTTTAAATTATGAAGGAACCAAAAAAAAAAAAAAGAAAATGTAAATGCACAGAGGATCTAGCTAGAGAAAGGGCATTTGAGGTCTTATCTGAATCTGATTGTTGAAAAGAGATCAGTGGTTCTTGGCTGGGAGTAGCCCAGCTATTAATGACTCAGTTATTACAGGCCATGAAGAAAATTATCAAAAGGGTGTCATAGTTGAAGCTGAGAGAGTTTGGTTTTGGCTCACTTAAACTCTATGGAGGCTTTACATATGCCTAAAGGTTTTTACAGTGGTTTTATAGTGCCTAGAAGTATCTCAGGCTAGAGAATTTGAAGGATTTCCTTAAAGCAGAAATGAAATTTAGATAAAATGATAAATGATATTTAGATAAAAAGGAATATCAGTAGAAGTTCTCAGGGAGTTCAGGCTTTCTCCTCCGTGTTCTCCTTCCCTTCATCTTGCTCTAATCACATTTTCCCCTTGAAACTTAGACGACATAATTATTTAGTAAAATTCCATCTTCTTGAAAAACAGTCTGTACAGATTGGACTGTGGGCTTCATCTTTCACATCTGCTCACAACACCCTACTTGGCTAGTGGACTCCGGTACTCAGACATGAATCACCAAATGGGTTGCTACCTAAATTGCAGGAAGATGCAAGCTAGACAGGACTTGCATGTTGGAATCTATTTCAATGGCACCAATAGGTGCAAAGTCATAATAAGCGTGTCTCCTTTTTTTTTTTTTTAATGGTCTCAGCATCATGCCTGATACAGTGGATGGCACATGGTCAGACTGAGACTCAATGAGTAAGCAGTTGTAAATTCACTTCGGTGGGGAGCTCATTACCTGTTCAAGTGGATGCTTAAGGGACCATCTTTTTTTTTTTTTTTTCTGCATCATGTGGGAGGTAAGACGCATGAATCGTAAACCGTCTTTCTACTCCTAAGATCTGGAATATTCTCAAACAGGCACTTCACAATTTCCCAGCTTTTTGTCATGGAACACGGTCCACTTGCTTCTGTCTCTCAGTCTCTCCTTCCTCCCCTCTCTTTCTCCCTCTCTTCCTCCTTTGCTCCCTTTTCTTAATCAGACTGCCTCCTATGCCTAAATCTTAATCTGCAACATTTCTTGGCTTTACCCCCGTCATTCACTGTACCCTCTTGATTTCCTTGCAGTTATTTGTCCGCTTTCTCAAACTCCCACACTCCTTCCTTCCCTCTCTTTCTCTCCCTCGGGTACCACTCCCTCCTCTCCCTCCTTTGCTCCGGCGGCTTCGCTTTCCGTGCGCTCTCTTCCCCCGACGGCCTCCCCCTCCTTCCCGCTCTCGGACGGTCTTACCCTAGTTTGGAAATGCAGCAGACCGCCGGGGCTGCCACCATTGGCTGCGCGGCGCCGTCACTCTGCGGCAGGCGGCGCTCCCATTGGTCGGCCTGGAGGCGGGTGCGGAGCTGCCTATAAAAGGAGGGCCCGGAGGAGGCGCGCGGAGCGGCTCCGACAGCACGGGGTCGGAAGGGGACCCGGCGGCGGGTAGCTGGTCGCCCAGAGCCTGGGTGCGCGTTCCGGAGCAGCGGCTCCCCGCACGAGCCTCGCCTCCGCTCGCCGGCCGGGGCTCCCGCCTCCGAGCCCCGCCACCCGCGGCCGTCGCCCGCGCAGCCCCGAGGGCCCCTCGCCTCAGCTGCACGTGCCGCGCCCCGTCCGGCCGCCGCGATGAGCGAGGTGAGCTCCGGGCGAGCGTGCGGCGGGGAGGCCGCGGCGCGGGTCCCCGGGAGCGGGGGAGGGCGCGGCCGCCCCGAGCCCCCGAGCCCTCCGGGGGCGCCCCACTGCCCCTCCGAGGAAGCTCCCGCCCCGGGCGCTGGGCAGCGACTGCAAGACGGAGGCTTTAAGCCCGGCGCTGTGGATGGAGCTTTGGGGGGCCGGGGAGAGGGGGGTGTACTGGAATCGGGTGTAGAGGGGGACTGCGGTCTCCGGTGATAAGTCGCCTTCTCAGGGTACCGCCTTGTGCATCTGTCCCAGCGCTCCGAGGTCACTCGGGCTTCCCTGCACTCCCCGGACTTCGGAGAGAGAGGCTCGCGTGTACCCTCCCTCCCTGAGCGCTGGGCTGCACCTGCACTCCTTAGGTAACACCCAGCCAGAACTCCAGCCCTCACCCCCTGCGGTGGTTACTTTTGGGAAGGTGGCATCCCCCCCCCCCCCCCATTCAGACAGGAGCCAACCACTGGAGGGACCTTTTCTGATGTTCAGAAGCCCCTGTAGTGGGGGCATGTCCACTCCTGGAGCGATGTCCCCCACAGGAGAGATCTCCCTCTGCAATGGTTGTTACATCCTAGGTCTTTCTGGCTGGCCCCGTGGAGTCCATCTGAGCCAAAGCCAGTCCACCAACCGGGATTTTCTCTTTTCCAAGGACACTGTCCATAGGTGGGGGTCAAAGCAGAGGCTTGGAAAGCCCTCTCCCATTGCTTGAATGCCTTTGGAGGATCCGGAAACAAGGATCTTCCTTCCCAAGTGGAGTCAGTGTGGGCACTACCATCACAAGCGTGCTCTCTGCAACCCCTTTCCTAGTTCACAGGGTCTTGTGATAAATCCAGCTACTCAGCCATATGCCAGGTCCCAGCCCTATGACTTCCTAGGTACGTGGTCTTAGGCAGGTGACTAAATCTTTCTCTGCTTCATTGTTTAACTTGTAAAATTGGGATAATTCGGATCGTTCTAATCATTAAATGAGATAATAATATGCAAAAGACTTAGAACAGTGGCACAGAGAGGTACTCAATCCACATTAGCTATTGTTATTATCTCCCTGTTTCTGTTTTTCTGTTTTGGAATATTACAGAAAATGAGCGTGAGAATTCCCAAGAATACCAGCTTAGTGAGGAGACAGGACCTTGGAACCTAGGTCTCAATTTAGATCTTTATCTTTAGCAGGAGCTCTGCTAAAAGTTGTCGACCAGGGAGCCAATTAGTGCCGACTGCTATGTTGTCTTTGTTGCCATGCCCACTGAGTCTATCCTGGAAAATTCAGCTGGTCTGGGGGCTGCAGATGACCCAAAATGGCTTCTAGTCCCTCAGCTAGTTGTGACCGTGACCATGGCAGCCTTTCAGAAAAAATAGGAAAGATTGTTCAATCTTCTTTCCTTTCGCTTCTTCTTCTTCTTCTTTTTTTTTTTTTTTTAGCATTTAAAAAGTGTTTATTTCTTTTTAAGTGAGAGAGAGCACACAAGTGAGCAGGGGAGGGGCAGAGAGAGAGGGAGACACAGAATCCAAAGCAGGCTCCAGGCTCTGAGCTGTCAGCACAGGGCTCGAACCCACGAACCATGAGATCATGACCTGAGCCAAAGTCGGACGCTTAACTGACTGAGCCACCCAGGCTCCCCTTTCCTCTTGCTTCTAATGTGAGCAGCCTTGATATGAGAAGAGAGGTTTCCTTTGTCCTCTTTTCACTGAGGTCTGGAGTTCAAGATCCCCTCTAGTGTTTCTAAATCTGAAAGTCGCAACTCAAGCCATCCCCTGGGAATTTGTGATCGGAAGGCTCTGCCAACATGAAGATGTGCGGTGAGCCTGTGCTTTTTGGGGGAAGCGCACAGACTCTCTGTAGGACATGCTACAGGGGCTGGCATTTAGGGGGGATTTGGCGGAGTTACGAAGCTGTTTTGGTGACAAGGAAAACCGTCTGGTGTTTGAGGCGAATGTCAAGTCTTGACTTCGTTGCGGAACCTGGCTAGAGTGATGACCATAGGATCTTTGGATGGGGACGAGCTGTCAGTGTGCACGGGGTTGCCCACCCAGCCTCCCAGGCTGTCAGAGTGAACTGGATCTAACTAGCAATTTAGCTGTCAAGGCTGCCTTCTAATATGGAGCTGAGCCTGGCTTCAGGGGTGAGTATAAAATCCAGAAGCAGCTACCTGCGTGTACACAGAGACTAGCTCTTTCTGAACCAGATCCCCAAGGGGTCTCTGCTTCCCGAGAGGCCAAGACCCAGCCTGTTTTCTTCCTCCGGTGTAAAAAAAAAAAAAAAAAGATCATAAAAAGCGGAAGTATCGCCCAGGGCTCTGGAGCTCCAGGGAGACTCCACGTCGGTCCCTCTGGGCAGCCCCAAGGCTCTCCTCGCTCAGCCTGAAGTGCCTCGCCCAGGAAATCCCCGTGCACCCTAACTCTTATATAAGCTTCTCCTCCCCCACCTGTTTATTTTCTTGCTTCAGAGAAACTGCATGAAACGAGAGGATTTGGAAGGATTTGGGATCTCATTACGAGATGCCCTTTTCAACCGAAGAGCATAAACCAGAGTGCAGTCTTCAGCCCCAGCACACCCGAGGTGTAGGGGTTCTGGTGGGGCTGCCGCGGGGGGGGTCTCCAGCTCGTCTTTGCCTCCATGGCTCTTTGCTGTCCCCCAGTACTGCAGCAGATCATTTCCCTGTAAACGTGTGTGTGTGTGTGTGTGTGTGTGTGTGTGTGTGTGTGTGTGTGTGTTCGTGCACAGAGGAGCTGCAGGGGACTCAGCTCCAGCTTGCCGTATTCACAGCTGCAGGCAGGACTTGATTGCTGTGGAAAACCGTCTGTGTCTTACAGTTTCATAACTTCTCGCTCGTTTCACCCAAGGATGGGAATGGGAGATGCACGCAGTCCCTGGCCGCTCTTCCTATAACCCCTTGTCATATTCCTACGGTGTCGCTGGCTGCTTATAGCACAGATGCAAGTTCTCCTGTGATCCTGTTGCATTTCTCAACCGCGAGGAGCCCGGCTGGAGCAATCCCTTGGTCTGGCCATCATTCTGTTGAAATGGGGGTCATGGGTGCCTGGGAACTGGCTGCACGGTGTCGTCGGGGTGTCTGGCTGGCAGGGGCCGGAGCACGGAACAGATCCATTAAAAATCTCACTAGCAGAGAGCTTAGAACTGGTACTCCCTCCTTTATCATTCTGCTTGCTCTCCCCTGAGGTCATAGGAAAGGGATATCACATTTGGGAGATCGTGTCCTTTCCTGTGCACATCTGTCAGAATCCGCGACCTTCCCCACAATGGAAGCTCGGGCAGGTTGATATCATTCTGTTGTCTTCTTCCATGAGCTAGTTTTTAGGGAACCTGGTAGGGACTTGGAGGGGATCCAAGTTTCCCTCTGTCTTCAGTATTTTATTATTATGATGATGGTTTTACCGGACATATAAAATAGAAGGGCTAGCTACTTGATATTGGTATGCCTTCCACCTCTGGAAATAATCTGCCTTCCAAAGCGAGGGAAATCAGAACTTGGTTCTAGAACTTGCTCATCCCTTTCTTAGTCACCCGTCCAGGCTGTTGGCTTTAGCTGCTTGAGCGGGAGCCTCTCACTGGGAAAAGTGGGTGACTGTTACCTTCCAACCAGGAATCAGGACGACTCTTTTCCCTAAGCTGCAGCTGTGATCTGTTACATCTTACAATGTCAAGGGTCTATAAGGGCAGGCACCCATATGTAATGTGACTGGAGTTGAAATATGCAAACTTGAGGCATCTTTCCTGTTTGGGGGGAGGTCTTCATGGATACAAGTGATGGAGACAGGGCTGAAGGGGGAGAAGAGGAAGAAGGGATCGGGTGAGTAATTGTTCTTTCAGGGTAGTGGTTCTATGAATGCCTCTCCCTGTTTTCTGTTTTTCTATGGTCCCAAATTGCCCTTCATGAGTCACTTTTATCATGGAAAAAATGTGGGTGCTCGGGTGTCAGTTGAGTGGCTGACTCTTGATTTTGATTCAGGTCATGATCTCACGGTTCGTGGGTTCGAGCCCCGTGTTGGGCTCCACACTGACCACACAGAACTTGCTTGGGATTCTCTGTCTCTCAAAATAACCAAACGAAAGGAAGGAAGGAAGGAAGGAAGGAAGGAAGGAAGGAAGGAAGGAAGGAAGGAGGGAAGGAGGGAAGGAGGGAAGGAGGGAGGGAGGGAGGGAAGGAAGGAGGGAAGGAGGGAAGGAGGGAAGGAGGGAAGAAACTTGGTTTGTAAAAATTCTTCAAAATGGAAATACAGGTATATCTTTCACCAAGAAAATCCCAAATAACGTATCCAAACATTTTATTATTAAAAAACAATTTTTTTAAACTAGGCTTCATGCCCGGTGTGGAACCCAACACTTGAACTCGCAACCCTGAGCTCAAGACCTAAACTGAGGTCAAGAGTCAGACGCTGAACTGACGGAGCCACCCAGGCAACCCTATCCAGACATTTTAGTGCTATAATCTTAGATTTGTTAAGAAACCCTAAAGACCATCTGATCCCATCTTCCCATTCTTACAGATGAGAAAAACTGAGGCCCAAAGCTGATCTAAGTTTACATGATACTAGAACCAAGACTAGAGCACAGACTGCTCATTCCAAAAGAACTTTCCATGAGTCCTTTAATATGTTACCCCAGCGAGCATAGAATGCTTTGATTTATATGCAACTTTTAAGGACTGTATCACAAAAACTTTCTATAGGAAAGCTAAGCAATGTGATTTAATACATGCTGAGCAAGAGGGGAGAGGGAGACGAGAGACCCCCCAGGAGATAATATTATCGACAGCGTACATTTTGGTAGAATACTAGGCAGGGTAACTATTAGCCTTCCTGATGCAGGATGCCTAATCGCCCTGGAGATGGGTGTAGATGCTGAAGTGATGCAGGTAAGCTAACAGGAGTGAGGTGAGGGGGAGGAGGCTCCCTTTTCCTGGGTTCTTAGTTTCTGGTGTCCATCATTGATCCCATAACTGCAG